AGCGCTTCTTTTCCCTCCCTGCGCCGCCGCTGCCGCTCGAGTGTGGGCCGTCCTACGAATTCGCGCGGCGCGACTTAACCGTATATTGACTTAGACGTTTCCTTTTCTAATTCGAAAACTATAGCAAGTATCTTAAAATGGTATAAGATTTTTTTGTTCCCTTTGATCCATTCTCCGCCTCCAATGTGGCCCCGATCCATCTTACGAGATACCCTGTATATGCAAACAACGTGCTTCGCGACGGCGGATGCGCGCTTCGCCGCGCGGGGCGGGTATTATCCTGTCACGCGCTTGCATTTGGTGGACTGGGCAAATTTGGCTATTTTCTTAAATTAATAACTCGTTAACCATTGCGACAATTGTAAAATGGTAGAGGACTTTTCTTCTCAGTTTAGTCCATTCTACCACATGTGCGAAAAACTTATCTCTAATTTTCAAAAATCCTGCATATATAAAACATTTTATTAGAACAAATGCCAATCAAATGTTTGTTTAATATAATCAAAAAATAATGTTACATTTACAAATATTTAGTAAGTAATATTATAGAATAAGTACACACGGTATGGACACTGAATTTTTTATGTGGTCTCCCATGTTTAATGGGTATGCGTCGGTTAAATGTTTGCTTGTATATATCTAGATATATTATATCTATATAATCATACATGTTATGAACGGTTATAAGACAACGGTTATAACATTTTATATTTAATTACACTTTTCATGCAATAATATTATTTTTTTTAATCTATAAAAAACGGTTTATAATCGAGCCAATTGAGGGGTTAAAAACGATATATCATAAATTTATTAAACAAAGAACATTAAGTAATAACATAAAATTGGACGTTTTGGGACACACAGGTCCTTCTTCAGCAATAATTAAACAAAAAAATCGGTATCAAAAGAATAACATTACATATAGATCATTGTGATGGTAATTTCAAATAGTTGCAACGAAAAAGATATGATACTCGATTATAGACCGTTCTTTTATAGATTTACTTTGAATAATACGAGCATAATAACATTACGTATGGGTAATTTCAAATAGTTGCAACGGAAAAGATATGTCCTTAAGTCTTGAATTTTTTTAACTTTTGCGTTTAGCCGATTCAGATCTTTTTATCGTAATTGATCTCTTGGTTTATATGTAACATATCTGGACATCAATTTTGACACTGAATATTATACATAATGATTTCATCATTTTGCACTCACATTTTGAATATTATTTTTTCATATACAATGTGTCTTAGACATAAGGTAGGAGTCACATTGGGGGCATAGAATGTCCGATATACTGTGACCCATTGCGTCTCACTCTCGGCGGCGTGACTTCACCGCACGTTGGCTTAAATGGTTCCTTTTCTAATTCAAAAACTACAGCGAATACCTCAAAATATAATATATGTATCATCTTTTTCCCCTTGATCTATTCTGTGTCCCCAATGCGGCTCCTACCCTATTTCTGAGACACCCTGTATAATTGTTTAATTACAATTTTATTATTTAATAAATTATTATTTTTTATTTACTATTATTACTATTTAATATATTATGTGAATGTTATCTTTTTATTGCTATCATCTTTTTATTGAATACACGTATTCTGAAATCCACTACATCAAAGGTGTCGATTTTCAGTGTCCGTACTGTATGTACTTATATTGTAGTATTACAAAATAGTAACAGTTTGGTCAGATGCATCTATAATAATTGGCACTACTAGGACGAACCGTTACAGGAATATAAAGTGTGCTCATATTAACTGCAGTGCTCATAATATCCAATCCTAATAATTATATACAATTACATATAAAATATGTCCATTTATATACAATTATATAAAATTATATATATTATTACATAATTTTATATAATTATATATAAAACATTTTTTCCTACTGTTATGAACTCTAGTAAGTCATTGTAATTTTAATTTTAATTAATGCTTCATAGAAATGTTATTGGAAAAATTTGCAAAAAATGACTATTTAAAAAAAAATTGTAAAATATTAAATTTTTTAATTTAATCCGGGTCTTCAAATTATATTATAAAAAAGTTAAAATAATGTAATAAATCGCATAGGGCACATTCAACCCATGAATGACATACTAGGGTTAATTACGTTGACTTCACAGCTCCTTCTTTCACAATTTTATTTGAAAGAACGGTGGCAGTTTAGGGCTAAAATTTGCCTATAATGAAAACGTATGAAATCGGTCAATTTTTATAGATTTGGACGTGCTGAACTTGAAAAAGAAAAATTGCATTTTCACAAAATTTCTCGGAAGAACTTTCAAGAATTTTAAGCTTATAATATGTCTTGTAGAATCTAATCGTTTCATTAAGTCATGTGTCAGTATATTTGTCATGTGTCAGTCTGAATTTTATTCTTTTTATTTTATTATTATTTAACTATAGGCTCATAACTATGAGGTCACATACTCAGCTATGCCATTATGAGCTTTCCTCGAGCTGAGTTCGGATTAATTAATTGCAAAGCAGAAAAATTGCATTTCCATAAAGTTCTCCGGACTTTGGAGAATTTCAAGCTTTATATTCGAGTTCAGCACGTCCAAATCTATAAAGATTGGCCGATTTTGTATGTTTTTATCACAGACAAATTTTGACCCTAAACTGCCATCATTCTTTCAAACAATAAGAGAAGTTCTTCTCTTATTGTTTAACTTATTTTAATTTTCTCACATTTCGTTGCAGAAATTGTTTAATTAACAAATATCTATTGCGCAAAACAAAGAAGTAAGAAATACACATCGCCTTAACCCAGTAGGGGTCATCCTCATTTGTGGACCAGCGATTTTTTATTTTTTTTTATCGTTAATAATAAGTTTTATTATTAAATTAATTATTTTTATTTTTAATTAACCAATAGTAAATTTTTATATCATCAAACATAAAAAATAAAAGTGTGACAGTTAATGGGTTAATAATAATAAGAATTCTTTGTTCGCGATAGTGACGCAAATGTATTGTAAAGTAATCGACGAGACTATTAAATTTCATCGGTGGTAAAATCGAACGACATGCATTCATCCCCTGGCGAAAATACGGATCTTTATAAAACGTTGACAACCGTTCGATAACGATTTTTTAAGAGTTATATGTTTTCAAACTTTATAAGAATGCTTACAGAACACCATTGGGTTTTAAACACTTTCAGAACGCTTATAAAATACAGTATATATTGTTTCATGAAAGTTCTGCAATGCTAAAGTAACGCTTTTCAAGGGATGCTCAGTAAACGCTGATGCACCTTCGTGCAGAGAGGAAGAAAAATGCTCTCATTCAGAGAAATTCACTGTGAGACGTGAATTGAATTTCTCAATACCATGAGAGCATTTTTCTTCCGTTCAACAAACGCTATTCCAATGTGGCGAATTATTGAATCTCAGTTTTGTAAGACTTTTACGCAAACATCTTTAAGCCGTTTGCATAAAAGCCTTAAAAACTGAGCCCAAAAAATGTTTTCCTCAATTCCATACAAATGCTTGTGTAAACGTTAAACAAACATTTATGAAACTTCTCATTTTCGTCAGGGTCGACTTTCGCATTACCACCGAGTCACTCGCTAGGTCTTCGGCTTCAGTCTTTCGGACGTTAGGTAATACGTTTCGCTTGTGTCGATGTAGTTATATAGTAGATGTTGTTATATTAATGCCGAGTATAAAACACGTACACAAAATACAATATGTGTATTTTCAGTTTTGTATATGTGTTTTACGCGCGGCATTAATGCAATTATCCCTTAGAGGACACCCTAAGGATTTCTCGGAAAGAAATTAGGAGTTGGTGGTCTGGCAGTGTCCGGGGAGATTTCGGAGAGCTGTATGTCAATGGGGGTGCGTGTGTCGTACAAGGACGGCGCCCGTAGTATAATTCCGGCCGAGCCGACGCTTACGGTTATCAGGAAGACCCATAGGAATAATCTGTCGATCACCATTGCGACATACTTCCAATCCTCCTTGATCTACGGTTGAATTCATAAATGACAATCAAGAACTTAAAGTATTTCATACACGGAAAAAAACGTTTTGCTTAAGTATATCAAAATTAATCGCCAAATACATATCTAAAAATAATTATGTTGCTCGAGCACAACAATAATGTTATAAAAACATTGTGACATTTTGGCAACCAGTTTAAGTATCCAACATAATTATTTTTAGATCTATATTTGGCCTAATTTAATAAATTTATGTATTTCAGCAAAATCGTTTGTTTCGTGTATGTTTTCTAAAGCTACGCAAAGCAGTGAGTTTATGAATATATAAAGGAAATACATACTGTATTGAATTTTCTCCTATTCTGAAATGTATTTTGATTTTATGACAAAAATTACGTAATATTTTTATTTAAAACGTTTTTTTTCCATATAATATAAAGAAAGCAGCTATTCAAATATTTTATTATCTAATTCGAAATTCAAATTGTATTAAAAATATTTATTAAATAACATTTAGCATAAACCTAAAAAATAAATATAAACCTCATAAAGAGAAAATTTCTTAATTTCTTAATTTGGGATTTTTTGAACATTCTAATTTTTTTTTTAATATCCTAATTATTAAATAAATATCTTATAAAGATCTCTTTTAAATTGTGTTATGTTATATAAGTTAAAATACTACATTGTTATCTAAGTTACGTAAAATTATAATTACTTTATTAATATCCTCTTCTTTCTTTATATGATCGGCGATAAAACGGATTCCTTCTATGGCTTTACTTATTTCTGGGCAAAGATGCCAACTCTTAAGTGTGTTACAGATTCGGTTGACGCTCTCCCCTGCTAGAAGTTGCGACGGCGGTGTAGGTGCCGCTTGCGAATCGTGGCTATGGCTTTCTAAATTTTCTTCCAATCCCCTAAGCAGATAATACAGTCACAAAACGAAACCCTAAATAAATATACATTCTAAAAACATAAGAATATGAATCGAAGAAGCATACAATATATTGCGCAAAAATATCCAGCTTAAAAAGTTTTAAAACAGCTAAAAATATATAGTTAGTATTAAGTCTAAAAAACATGAAAATATAGTGTATTTATCTTAGTGTTATTTTCGATATTTTTTACACCATTGAATTTTTTGACATTTATCTTTTTTATTATTTGTAGTATTGATTAGTCACAAAATATCATCAAAGTAAGTCAGTAAAATGTATTGTAAAATTAAGTTACATGGAAACAAGTTAATTGAAATATTTAAAAATTTAACTATATACGTATAGGGGAAAGTCGCCTATATCGTACCTCTTAACGTTTAAACAAAATTATAACAAAAGCACTGAAGAAATCAGAATATTTCTGTACTCACATTAAACTTTGGTTCACTGAAAATAAAATTGGAATAAAACAAAACGATACTTAAATAACAACGGTGTAAAGACTCTTTATATATAACATAAATAAACAAAGTAAACGGCGAAATAAGAGTCAACGCATAAAATATAACACATTTAATTAAAGATATTAATCAAAGATACATAAAGTAAAAAACGAAGCAGAACGACGTATATCAATGTATAAAAATATTCGGAGAAATAGATACGTTGACGACATATGCACTGCGTTGCCTCCCTCACAAATCGACCGGTTATTAGAACGATTCAATTCATTCCATCCGCGCCTGCAGTTTATCGTTGAAAGAGGCGCAAATACGATAAATTTCCTGGACGTCACCATGTCTATCAACAAAAATCGCTGTAATTTTGATTGGTACCGTAAGCCAACGTTTTCAGGTAGGTTTTTGAACTTTCATTCCAATCATCCATTGACGCAGAAAAAAGGCACCATCTTTTCATTAGTCGACAGAGCCTTTTTATTATCCGACGGTATGTTTCACACTAAAAATTTGACCTTTATCATTAATATTTTACTACAGAATGACTATCCACTGGACTTCATTTTCGACTCTATTAATCAAAGGATTAAAAATTGGATTAAAAAGGATTAAAAAGAGACACAAAGTACATAATGTTGTGACTGACAGTGACTTTACTAATGAATCTACCTCTTGGCTTACGATTCCTTTCATTCCGCTTCATACGGAGAAATTCAGAACACTAAATAAAAACAAAAGCGATATCAGGGTAGCCTTCCACAGCCCTAACAAAATGGACATATACATAAAAAAACCAGAAGGACACTTGTCCCCGCACATCTAAAAGTAATGTGTCGTTTACAAAATTTTGTGCAATAATTGTGACGCGTCTTATGTTGGACAGACGGGCAGGAAATTGAAAACCAGAATTGCCGAACATCGCAACCATATCAGGCATAAAGCTTCTGCTCGC